GGCCTGGCACAGTGACTGTATCATATGTGATACAATTGTCTACTTGTGTTAAACTTTAACTCAACCACACCCTCCACACTGAAGCATCTTCCAAACCGGTTATTGAGAATTTTTACCTGAGAAAGGAGGAAAACCAGAAAGGTTTGAATTCAAATATACTCATTTAGGATTCCAAAGTTGCAGCGAACACAGGGAATGTGCCACATACCAGTGTATGTATAGCGGATACACTCTAATACTGGGTATCACTAAGAGTCTGGCTTCAGGTTCTCTTCTAGATCCCATCAGGTATTTTTACACATTGACATTTACGATTTCAGATCAAAATGGCTTAAACTGTAGTAGAAGAGGGTGCTTTGGTGTTTTTAATGCAAAGATGGTTGCAAATTAAAAGGACTAGTCAGGGGAAAGGTGCTTAGGTGCCTGACTGCAGTTTATTTTTCTATGGAAATTAACTTGGAGTTAGATACCTGAAGACCTTTCAAGCACCATGATTCAAGCACCAAAATTAGAAACACGATTGTAAAGTTCTCTGAAGAAAATGTTAATGCAGTTAAACCAGGCAGCAGCACTTTTAAAACAGAAACTAGTCTTAGTCCTAGGTTCAATACTAGAGTCAGCATACAAATCCCACTAAATATTGTGTAAACTTGCACATGCCTAGAATATGACTGCTTTCCTTGAACCAAATGTGTTAGATACAGAAAGGTAAGCTGACACCAACATATAGGGTGCATTCTTTCAAATAGTATTTGTCTTATATTAATTTCTACAACCACATAGAAAGGCCAGTTAAAAATGGTTTACCAGCCAGTTAAAAATGGTTTCTGCAACAGCAACCTATTGCAAATCATCTTTTCTCTGTCATTAAATAAAGTATATCTATGGAATACATATTCCAGGATGTTCTAGGCCCATAAAACATATCTTTCACACTGAGTTATTACATTAGATTGTGAGCTGCATTGATATATACTGCCAAAAAGCTTTTCTGAGCATCTACATTTTTAATACCATAAATGAATATGGGAAAATTATATTAGAATCTTGTTAAGAATTAAGTAATTTTCTCTTTTTTTCCAATATAAAACTAAAGTTAAAAGCAAAACTGGGAACATTTTTCAGCAGACCAAAACCTGATGCATTTGGAAAACGGAAATCCAAACACGACAGTAAGTCCTTTATTGTGAGGTCTTAGAAAATACCGATGATTGTTTAAATTACAATTGTGCCCTTCAGATAGATGTCTGAACTGTTTGCTTTAGGATAGGGGTCTAAGAAGCTTCTAGCAGAAAAGTCAAAAAGATTGTTGCTGCAGAACTTGGGAGATAGATAACTAAAATCTCAGCTGGATCTCTACATTATTCAGAAAGGCTGGACACTGTGTTTGAATCATTTGGCATCTTGAGCTTGGAGGTCAGGGGGGCTGCAATACATTTGTTTGATGCTCCAGATATTTTGGCTCTGTCTGAAAAGGAACAGCGTAGGACCTGCACACAGGGTTTGAGACTACATTGTTCCCAACCTGATGTGCACCTGAGTACCGGTATGGAGAGAAAATTGATATCTTGCTATTATAGATGCAAGAATATATTTTTTGTGTGTGTAATGAGATGAGAAAGAAAATCAACAGTGAACATAAAATGCAAAATTGTGAGATTTGTCACATGTGTCTTAGAGCAAAACTTTCTGCTGTTCAGCCTGGAGAAGAGAACGCTGTATGGAGACTTTATAGCAGCCTTCCAGTATCTGAAGGGGGCCTACAAGGATGCTGGGGAAGGACTTTTTATAAGAAGAAGTATCAATAGGAAAAGGGCTTCAAGCTGAAAGAGGGTAGATTTAGATTAGACATTAGGAAGAATTTCTTTACTGTGAGGATGGTGAGAAACAGGCACAGGTTGACCAGAGAAGCTGTGGCTGCCCCATCCCTGGCTGTGTTCACAGCCAGGTTGGATGGGCCTTTGAGCAACCTGGTCTAGTGGAAGGGGGCTTGTAAGTATATGATCTTAAGGTCCTTTTCAACCCAAACCATTCCGTGATTCTATGCTGGCAAATGCTACAATGGATCTGCATTGTAGAGCAGTGGATCAGACAGGAACAATACATTGGTGACAAGTATTAACAAGGTATTATTTAATAATAATTTAAACTGGTTGTTCAGAAGAGAAAATAAGGAGGTGTTGATGTTGCAGTTTGTATCCATTCTGTACCAGTTTCAAAGCCACAAGATGTTTTTGCTGCCACATACTAGAAATATGTAAATTGCCATTTTGCCTAATCTCCTGAACCAGCTGCCTTTCTATATTAAAATGCAGTCATAAACATCACACATGTCATGTTACTGTAAAAATACACAGCAAAAACACTTGAGCAAACATTTTCTTTGAAAACTTTGGCATAAAATTTTCCCATTGAGCATCCAGTTTTTGTTATCTCTCTTCAGAGACATTTTTTTAAATGAAATTTTTTTATTATGCTTTAATGAAAGCTCCAGGCATAAGAATAAGAAAAATAATTACACAAGTTATTCACAGTCATGGTATTCATTCCTGATCAAGTGCTGCTGTTACCAAAGGATGCAATTTATTAATGATTCTTATCAAAAGAGAGGTGATATCTAATCTCATGAAATAACGAAGGCTTAAACTGAGGTTACCATAATGAACAACTGGGAACTACAAACAGATCCTATAGGGAATGAGAGCTACCTCTAATTCTAAAAGCTATCCATGAGAAAACGGGCTCTGTAGAAATATATTATCCACTATGCAAATGCAGGCTCTTGGAAATGCTACCCCTGTATTTGAAAAAGTTCCCTTTTTAAATCTTCCAGATACACACAGCAATTTTGTTCTAAAGCTTATTGCCCACTCCAAACTGGGAGGCAGCTCCTAGCCTAAGCCATAGAAAATGGAGGATAACAAAACTCTTTAGCAATAAACTCAACAGTTCCTCCTTCCGCTGCACAATGAGCAAACACTGGAGCACACAGACCTCAGAAAATGAAATAGTCTTGAATTTTCCCACTAGTTTAAACCCGTTAAGCATTTGTCACTACAAGAAATCACCATGCTCCACTTTCTCTAGTGTTTATTCACTTATATGTTGGGTCTGGTTTATATTTTTTCGGCCAGTAACAACAAATAAATAATGCTTCCCATCTTGAAGACAGAAATGAATTTTAAATAGACTACCCCTGAATAAAGCTCTTCAAGGGCATAGGCAGGGAAATGGATAAAGTACAGGACTGGGCACACCAAAAGGTCCTTTGTTGTTGTATTAACATTGGCTTCTTCATTGATCTTGGGTAACTCATAGATGTTTTGCTTCTTAAACCTCTACATCAGTAAAATGTGATTTGTCTACTTTAGGTCTGTAACAAGCATGAGCTGAGACTCACTTCTGCAAGCACTTGTACAGATGACCTTTCTAACAAGCAGTTGCACAAGCAGTTTTGCCTAGGAAGACATTAAGCACCAACAATCTCATGGTATCTCAGAATCAGGCCTTTAAATTGCTAGGCCTGTCCAGCATTATGGATGGTAGCTAAGCATTAAATTATAAGCATTTGAGATCTGCAATGAGTCATATCGCTGTTCATATTTAAAGGACTGTTTCTCAAATTCTGTACGAGTTCCACAGAAAAGAATTAAAAGGCCATTAAGATGAAAATGGACAAAAGCAAAAACCATAAAATGAAGCAAAGGGACTCCAGGAAGGTGAGTGCTTCTGCAGCAGCCTTCGCTAGCATGCATATCTTCTTGCTTTCAGGTCCCAGTCTGTGGTGGAAGCTGGCACGCTGAAACATGAAGACCAGGGAGAAAGCGAGAACACCCAACCGCTGCTGGCTCTGGACTGAGCTCCCATGTGCTCAACATGCACGTATACATCAACAGACTTCCACCATACCAGGAACCCACAGAGCACACAACACACATACTCATGCCCGTGTTTTGCTTGAGAACAAGTCCTTCATGTTTCTTGACAAGTAACAACTGTCACCAGCCATCTGTCTGTGAAGCCAACACTGAACAAAAACTGAGAAGTTTCTATTGACACAGGAGTCTGTCCATAGAAAAAAACCTCTTTCTTTTTTTGACTTACGACATTAAAGCATTGGAAATTATGGGACTGCATTCTCTGTTAAAGAAACCAGGGTGTGTCAGTAGCTTTCCTGAAGACTCCATCAGGGACGGTCAGTTTTACAGAAGCAAAGGTTAAGTGTGTTTTAAAGAGAAACAATTCAAACTTAAACAACTTTGCACTGTAATCATCAGTTTAATCTGGCACAGAGGGCAGAAACAGCAGCATCTACAGAGCACTCAAGTTTTACAGGAAGATTTTGCATTAAGAAAACAAAATAAATCAGTGAGAGCATAATGCCATTCAACATGACACTTTGTGACCACCTCATCCATGCTGCTTACTGGGGGTCACATTTCGACATCTAGCAAAAATTACTCTTAACTTTCAAAGCCCGTATGAAACTGTTGGCTAAGTGGAATGAGCAGTGTGGGCAGCAGATGCACACAATATGAAATGCAATTATTTAATTTAATGATGTGTTTTTCCACAGGCAACTCGGGAGCCTATTAGAGAAGTGTGTGTGTGCACATGTGTGCGTATGCGGAAGGGGGCTGCTAGGGAGACCCATTGGACGCATTCAGCAGTGATTAATGGTTCAATCCAGATTGTTTCATTTAGGTCATAACAGCAAATATAAGCTCGGCAGAACCATTTACCCCCTTCCCTCATGCAGTGTAGTGAAAGGTGTAGCCAGAAGGGTATGCTTATTGCAGATGTGGGCCATTATTAAAATGAAAAAGGAAAACTTTGAATTTATTATTCAGTACAAGCTTCTGCCAGAAGGAAATGTGGACGAATAGAAGAACTGAAATGCCAAAGATCAGTTTGTTATTTCTCTGTTTGCTCTAGCTGCAAAGAGAGCCCCATCTCTTCATTGAAATGGAAACCAGATTAAAGAAATAAAAGAAAAATCGTTATCAAATTGTATGTGCAGTGACTTTATTTCCTAAAACAGTTACGACCACTGTACACACCTTTAGCCTTCAATTAAATTGCCATACTTTGACAATTTACTAGAACAAGCAGTTGACAACAACATATCGAAGGTAGCAGTGTAAACCATATATATCAATGAGATGATAATGGGCACAAGAGTTTTTAATGTGCCTCTGGAACATCCACTGAATTCCTAAGTGATATACTGAAGTGATCATATAGTTCAACTGGACACGGTCAACCCTAAGAGATGGACTAACAAAATACTGCCTTTATCTACAACATTTCATGTCTGTACAGGGCAGAAAGGGCATCCTGCCAGATCCTATCAACACATCTGGGGTTTACCCTCTAGTATTTGTACTGGATAGCCTCATCCAGGCTAACCCTTCTTCTGCAGCAGCATGTCATTGATACAAAGCCTGGCCTCCACAGTAGACAGCGAACCTATAAGGCAGTGAATGGTCCCAGTAAGGCAACACAGGAGTCAGAAAAAAGCAGCAGAGGCTTGCGGGAACATTAAACAAATAAGACAACTGAGCCCATTTATCTTTGGGATTTCTTCCATTTACCCTCCCCTGACATTACCACCCATTACAGAAAACTAGATGTCAACTCCTGATAAAAGGACACAGTTCTGCCTCCCTTGGCTCATGAATTCTCACAAGCATTTGGATTTGTCATAGAGAACTTGCCTAAAGCAGGAAGTAAAAAAACAAACAGACAATAAAAGGTAGGCACTGACTGCTATACTGCAGCATTAATGGAAACACTTTGGGTTACAAGTTTTTCTCTGTTAATACACTCACCACTGAATCTTTGTAATGACCTGTTACAATCATTGTTCGTTCATGTGGGATTTGTTCTGCCCAGGAAGTGCAAATACCACTGAAATCTTGTCCTTGAGGATTAAACCTTGCAGAGGATTATTTATTTTCTTTAGCTGTGACATGAATACATACATATGATGCCTTGTATGTAACTGTATGATGCCTGTATTTAACTGTAGGATCTTGTACAGACTGTGCTTGCAAGCAAGGTAACTACAGGCAGGGAGGAATCTAGCTCCCATCATTGTAATGAGTATGTACTGCTTTTAAAGAAGAGACTATATTGCCCTTTTCTGGCATTTCCCTCTGCAAATAAATCTAAAGGAAAAAAATATTTAAATTGCAATGGTTCTCCATTTTAAAAAACATTTCTATTCACTTCTTCCATTGGTATTTCCAATGTTCAAAAGCTTTTTCAAGATGAAATATTATTTGGCAAACAGGAATACTTAAATAATATATGACTTATTCAGGGCATGATTTCTGTAGTTTGCTGTATTGTCCTCCATATATATCGCTAATCCTGTAACTGTAGCTAACAAACAAACAGATATGCTCTCAGCTCCTTAACAGGGAAGCATTGAGTAGATTCACGTCAGTGTTGCAGGAGCTATTCATAATATATTCTGTTATATTCAAGGCACTTATGATTTTAAGTGGCCAATATATCACTACACAATTTAATAAACAGTGCTACTTCAGCACACACACATCTCGGGTAGATTACTTTTATATTTGCCAATTTTATCTTTTCGCCATTTGCAATAGGAAAAGATAAAGTATAACCCTTCAAAGGAACAACGAAACAATGTGAAGGATGGCATGAGTTTTCATAAAGAAAGTCCCAAAGCTTTTACCACTCATTTAGTATTTCCTCTGAGCTATAGAAACTAAAATGCAACATTAAGAAAAATGTTCCTAAACCACAAATTTTGATTTAAACAGTTCTTGATTCCCTCTTTACAAACTATGTCTTTATTATAGAGAATTACAAAATACTTTATAATTTGTATTGCTTGATCACCTTACAAAGATACACCCTGTGACTATACAACCACGAGGAGATTTAATTACTTATGATCTTTTTACTACTTTACCCCCCACAATAACAAGCACCTTGTTCCCAGTTTAGCACTTGACTCTCCTAAAGCTCTGCAAAATATCTCCAAATATTTTATGTTTTCATTATGATTAAATGATAACTGTTACTTTCTTGTATATTGTGCATAGTCTCAGAGTTATTTTTGACACAGACAACTTGTTAAAGTTTAATTATCACAGCTGTCTAAAACTGACTTAGACCAGAGAGGATTTTTCAGTTTAATATTCAAAAAGGAAATTAAAGTGCACACCTCCAGAAACCGGTTACACTAATTTATGGTGCAATCATCATGTGTTACATCACATTACAAGATTTAATTACCTAGCAAAATACAAAATCTGAAAAGCATTCGCTTTATGGCAACGCAAAGCTCTTATCTGTATTTTGCTCCCTCAAAGGTAGCATTCTGGTCCATGATACTTAGGTACCGTGATGTAGTCTCGGTAGTACAAAACCACTGAGCATTTACAAATACGATGACTGTTCAGTGTCTTTTGGGCAGCAAAGCTGAAGCTGTGGAGACTACGTAACCTCAGTGTCTCCTTCCTTAGTGTTTGTCTCTCAAAACCCTCAGTAATGTTGCCACTGCTCATGACAAGCTCTGAGCATCCTAGCACACCTATCCACACCCAGCTAGTTTTGTGGGAGAGTAGGTAACAGCCAGTCATAAGCATCAACTGTGCAACCTCAGGTCTCTCTTTCCTGTTAGTGTTCTTAGAAATCAATAGTGCAGGGTGCTGCACCCTCCATCTCCCATTTAAATAGTACAGATCCCCCCAAAACCAGCTAACTGCTTAAATATCCAAACAGTTTTCTTTCTTGAAAACAGGCTTTTTTACCATAGCATAAATTCTGTATGGCAAGTATAGAACATACAGTGAACAGTACTGGGATAAGACTACTTCAGCAGTATGTCATACACTTCAAGACAAGGAGAACACCATTAGGTCATTTAAAGGATCTTTCTAGCACACTGTACGATGCTGGCAGCAGAAGTTAATAAAAGTTAATAACCTGAAGCTCTTTGTCTGCTCTGCATTCTGGCAGAAAAGCAAGCCAGACCTTGTCCTTCTGCCCAAAGCACAGGAAGTTCTTCAGCTATATTTTTTTTCTGCTGAATGAACACCTAAGGACAGCCTAGAAGGATCCCCTGGAAGGAGGCATCCCAGACCCTTGCTGGGTAGAAAACAGATATCATAACACAAACTTTTCTAATGAGAGGAGAAACAGCAGTTCACCACATAAGCCTAAGAAGTTTAAGGTCTGAACCTACGGATGTCACATTTGCTTGTTATCTTCCAAAGTCACATTATCAAACTGAAGGTTGCTGATAAATAAGAGAACGATTTTGTTTTAGAAAAACAAATCCTCACTAAGCAGCTGGTTATGCAAGTTTCAGTTTGCATTTTCAGGAAGGCAAGAGAAGGCTACACAGGACAAACATTAAATCTGATCATATGTAGTGTTTTCCTTCTGCTAATAGCTAGAGATGCACTTACATATATGTTGTTCATTTTAAAAAATAGTGGTTGAGTAAAGATTTGCTCATAATTATGCTAGAAAAATACAGTCATTATTTAGAAAAAAATACAAACACATATAACCCATTCACATCTACAGTTGATAACATAGGGTCATGCTCTAGGCCTAAAGCAGCTAACGTTAAAATTGCATACTGATTTTCAAAGTTGGTTGTGTGCATATGTTTGGAAACATTTTACATGTTGCTTCCCAGAGAAAAGCCTGGGAAATATTTCCCAGATAGAGAACTGCAAATATTGTGCCTGAACATGGTTGGGCAAATAACTGACTAGTTTAGCATGCATAATACAGGCATGGCAAAAAACATCTGCACATTCCTTAATTTGAAAATCCAGACCTATTGTTCTTTGGCTGACAAGATTCCTATTTTCAAACTTCCATCAGTGCTGTACCAGTATGAAACAAAACATGGCTTTTTTTTTTTCCTTTTTTTAAAAAAAATCAAGTCCTTCATGACTGCAGGATGTAGTCCTTATCTCTGCTAACCCTTACAATACTTGTATTCTTTGTATGCTGGATAAATTAATCCTATTTGCATAGGACAACCTCTCCGAGGGGGTTAAAGCTCCTCTGCTCCGCACATCAGAAGGAGCCCCTTAAATAGCAGGAAGGGTGCGTCTCTGTTGTGCTGTTAACTCAGGGTGCCACACATCCACAATGAATATCAAGCGATAATCTTCAGCATCCTGCCATACTTCATGTTCAAAAGAGTCATCAAAAATAAGAACTTTCCCTTCTTCCCAGGATCTGCAACACAAAAAAGAACATGATTTGGTGTAGTATTGGAAGTGCTATAGAGCAGACAAGCTATATATCAGCTCTGAGGATGCTCTTTCACATACCAGAATGATTTATACAGTACATATTGCACAGTCAGGACTTTACTACCTAATATAGAGACTGAAGTATCAGGGTTTTAATTAAAAGAAACTACAGAAAGATCAGTCTAATGGACCTTCTTATTACTGAGGGATTGTTTCCCCTCACTCTGCCCACATACACATTCAGACATTACAATATTTGTTATTTACATACTTTTAATGAGTTGAGTCCAATAAGCAGGAAGCAAGTATTAATAACTAGTGTAGTAATCAACTTTTCTCCTTTTCTAATCAGATACATACATAATGAGCGATGGAAACAGAGGGAATGACCAGTAATCTGATTTTATGGTTCAAAAACAAATTACATTGAATCAATCTGCTTTTTCTGAAAATCAAAGCAAGAGAATCAGGCCCTGATCACGCTTAATATTTCAGAGATTTTAACAGTCTTGTCCCATAAATCCGTTCAAAGCACTGAGCCTAAAGATTTTTCTTCAGAGGAAGGTTGCCATGCCATGGTGTACACTGGGTTAACTACACTGTCAAAACTAAACTGGAAGGATGAGACCACGTAACTTAGCAAGCCCCTCTGCTTGCTAAGTGTTTAGCAGAGCAGATCACTGAAAAGATGTAAATACCCTGGGTGATTGTTCACTACAGCATGGAAGAGATAAGTTTTAACAGTGATACTTTTCCAAGATCTGTATCTTTGTTAGGCAAGAAAAGGAATACACATAATTTATTCAACATGGCTCAGTTTTGAGCACCTCCATCTTCTGATAAATAACAAAATTACCAGCTTTAACAGAAATGGCAAGAGGCAGTTTAGAAGGGAGATATCAATTATTGGAAGAATCAGTGTTTCTGTCAATTTTACTTACTATAAGCATAGAACCACAGAATAATCTAGGTCAGAAGAAACCTTGGCAAGCCATGTGGTCCAAGCCTCTGCTCGGAGCAAGACTCACTGCAAAGTTAGATCCAACTTTGAAGTTAGATGAGATTTCTCAGGTTCTTGACTAGTAGATTTCTGAATATCTTCAACCACAGACATTCCACCATCTCTTTCTGTGTGTCACGAATCCCATTGTAAAAATTTCCTTTTATCTAGATGGATTTTTCTTCACTGTCACTTGTGTCCATTACCTTTGATGCTATAACTGGACACCTCAGAGAAGCCTGGTTCTGTCTTCTGCACAGTCACTCACTAGTAGCTGAAGACAGTAACTAGGCTCCTCGTTAGCTTTCTCTTTTACAGACTCCAAACCAGCTTTTTGAGATTCTCCTCATGTGTCACATATTCCAGTCTTCTAAATATCTTTTTCCAGCCTCCACTGGAGGCCCTCTAGTTTATCAATGACTTTTTTTTTTTGTACTGAAGAGCCCCATACTGGAAACAACACTTCAGAGGCAGCATCTTCAGTGCAAAAGAAAGGGAAAACAATTGCTCCCCTCAAACTGCTTCCTGTCCACAGCTAGCCTTCGTCAAGACAGGAGCACATTAGGACCCATGTGCAATTTGTCCCCTAGAATCCTCAAGTCCTTTGCTGCAAAGCTGCTTCCTACGCAACCATCGCCCAGTCTGTACTGTTGCAAGGTGTTGATCTGTTGTTATCAGTTGCAGGGCTTTGCATTTGCCTCTGTTGAATTTCACGAAGTTTCAGCTGGCACGCTTCTCCAGCCTGCTGAGATCTGGATTCATAGTTTTGAAAAGAAGTTTAGTGTCTGATTAAATGTATTCCTGACACTGCAAAAAACAAGCAACTCATCAGTGACCACTAGTGATAATGCCACAACATGTGAAAAAGTCACTGTGCTAGTCATTTGTCACTGCCCCTCAGATCTCAACCTTACCCACAGCATTTAGACACTGCAGCTCATTGTGTAACATGGTTTGTCTATTGTAGAGTCAGGCAGTGGTATGAGCAAAGCAAATTTATTTTGCATTGCAGCAGGACAAAAGCACACCTCTCATTATCCCCCCAGTTGAGACTGATGAAGCTTCTCTACAATGACTACATAATCAAGTTTTTTAACAGGACTCCTTAGGAGGTGAAGCAGTACAAGAAGACGGATGCTCTTAAAGGGAATTAAGAACTATGAAACAAAAGTCTTGCCATCAAACATGGAAACGCATTGCTTAACTTATTCAACAGTGTTCACACACAGAGAAAACAATTTTCTTTTTCAAAAACAGGGTGCAAATGAAATTTAGTATCCCAAGTAATCTAGTATTTGAATTCCACAAAAGCAAAAATTAACATCAAAATTTATAGGGTTGTGCTGTAATGTTCTGAAGAGAAGTAGAAACAGAAATTGGATCAACTGAAATGATCATCTAAACATATTTTAAGCAAGAGTACATAAACCATAAAGCATAATATAGTAAAAAATTCACACGGGCTTGCACATAGACATTAGCCTTGAAGGCTCAGATAATGAGCCTTTTGCAGGCTTCAGCTATAATGATATTATTTTTCTGCTACCATATCAATTACCTGATAACAAAAACATTTTATGCCTTATAGACTCTGAGTCTCTGCTACTGCACTAAGTTACACTGGTATTGTTCAACTCAATGGGAATCAACCACTTTCAATGCTGTAATGCATTAAGAAAATCAAGTTGACTTTGGGTTTTTTTTGGGAGGTGTGGGGAGGTTTTTTTGTGGTTTCGTTGGTATTTTGTGGGTATTTTGTATTGACAGCTTTTTTACTTTTGATGGGGGTTGCTGGGCTTTGGTTTTTTTTTGTTTGGTTTGGGTTTGGTTTGTTTGTTTTTTTTTGCTGTGTTTCGGCTTCAGTCTGAGAACAGTGCTGATAACACACCAATGTTTTTAGTTGTTAGTAATGCTTACCCTGATCAAGGACTTTTCAGTCTCTCATGCTCTGCCAGTGAGGACAGGCACAAGAAGTCGGGAGGGAGCAGAGACAGGACACCTAACCCAAACTAACCAAAGGGGTATTCCATACCACAGCACGTCATGCCCAGTTTATCACTTGTGCTTATGGGCGGCAAAGGGAGAGTGAGGGAACAGCTGCATAGTTCTGAGTTACTGGCTGGGCTTAAACCATGACACCCCTTTTGAATAGATTACAAACCCCACCATTAGCATGCAAATAAATATTTTCTAGAAGCCTTCATGGTGTGAGAAACACTTCACAGTGGGACCACAGGGATGATATTCTTCTGGCCTAGTGTTAAGCCACTTTCGGAGTAGTTTCTATATCACCTGCAGGGCTCTAGTGTGACCTGTTAAGGTGAGATCTTGGACTGCCTTCTGCATAAGGCTGTAATTCTGCACTTTCATTTTAAAACACGATTACCTTTTCTGACAGACATGTTTGATTTTGAGTACTAGATATTATTTACCTCCATTTTTGTGCATTTTACCCTATGCTTTACAGTGCTGGGACTTCAAAATGGCCCAACAACCTAAAATTACTACAGCTGTACTGAATAACAGTGAGGTATACAGCTCCTAGCAGCTGCAGAAAGACTCTTCTGCAGGTGAAGGAGTAGAATGCAGTACTAGACAGAGCTGAGTTGCCTATCCATCAAACTATGAGTAGTATTGTAATGCTGCCCCTCTAAACACCCGCACTGGACGACACAAAGGTAACCAAGCACAAAATTCTCATTGTTTCTGTGTTCTCATACACACAGCAGTGGAACAGAAGGCCAGAAAAGGCATGACCTACTATAAGCTTCATATTTGAACCAGCACTCCTATTTGAAGCCACTGGTTTACCATGGCTCTGAACCACCAGGAGAGGAATGAACAAAAAATGCCTAAGGTAGGATTTCCTCCTGGCACCACTCTTTTCCACAGTACTTCACTTTCAGTGCTTTCAGGGAAAATCCTGCGTTTGATTCTGAATGTATAGCTCTTGCCAAAAGCAGCTAAAGTTAACACATTACAGCACAGGCTTGAAAGTTTTATCCTTTCTTACATCTCCTCATATTTCCCAGGGGAGCATATAGCCTGATTGTAAATGTATAAGCTGTTGAAGCTTATTTTGGTTTTTGTGCCAAGCAAACAGAGACAGAACTGGCCTTCAAGTCAACACAACTTTTCCCTAAGAGGTAAGAATTCTTACTTGAAATGCACTTTAAAGAAATTTGCTACCTCTGTAAGTAATTGGGCCAAAAACTGTATAGATGTCTTCAGACTGAAATCAACTTCAACTGAAATATTTTTAACCAAATTAAAACAAATAATACCAGCTAAGAAGGAGGCTTCTGCCAAAAATACAAGAGTATTCCATCATGGTGGTGAGAACGGAGGTACATACAACGAAATCTAAGCCCCCCCAAATCAAAACAAAGAGGAACTCTGCTGACACTCTATTAGACTGGCATTGGCACTGTAAAAGCAAACATAGAGAATCTGTGGACTAAACCCACTGTTATTTCCATGCCATAGCAAAGAGGAGCAGCTTCGTCTCTGAAGATTCTTCTGGCGTTGAAGTTTGAGTACTGATATTTATATGCTTGTACCAAGAGTTAGTGTGCAAGTTTCTGGTTTAGGGAAATACATTACACCTCCTGAACAGTAAAATATCCCCTACTTTTTTTTTTTTTTTTTAATTACATGCAATCCCATCCCTTTTTTAGCCTTGAGAGAGGTAGAAAGAAGGAACCCCAAACATCCAACCATACCTGTTCTCTTGGGCACACCGAATCCTGCAGCCTTCCTTAGGTATCACCAAGCCCAAATGCATCCTTAGCCGACAATTGGTGGGCCCTGTGTGGGGCCAGACATGAGTCCCTGGGTGCATGATAGAATATTTGATCTGCAAGAAGAGAAAGGCAGGCCTTCAACACGTTCAGCTTCACAGCCATACTGCTAGAAGTTCAGGACTTCATTGCATCTCATCCTTGATGATGGGCCAAAAGTGCAATGTCATCTTTTGTTATGGTCTTAGCAGCAACTGCTCATTCTCATATTCTAATCATGTTCAATACTATAGAAAACATGTCTTGTGGAGTGTTTTTGCATCCAGGTGTGTGTGCGAAAGTCCTTATTTTTCATTTTGCTTAAAATAAACAGTATTCATATTTCAATCTGAAATAATTATCTTCTATCTACAATCAGAAGAATTTTGTGGGTTTTTGTTTGTTTGTTTGTTTGTTTGTTTGTTTTTACTATGGAAAGAGTTACAGCCACTTTTGTTGTTTAAAAGGATGGACTACAGGAGAAAAGGCCTGTCTTAGCCAGACTGGCCAGTCCTTCTCAGGTGACAAAAGTGATGTGAAGGTGACTGTAAGCCTTGTCTGGAGGCACCCTGAGATGACGGAATTCAGGATCTTGAGACAAGGTAGAAAGGCAAAAACAGGATTACCACCCGCAGCTTCTGAAGAGCAGACTTGGACTTATTCAGTGATCTGCTGGGAAAAATCCCATGAAATACAGTGCTGGAGAAAAAAAGGGTCTAGGACAGCTGGTTCATATTAAGTATTTATATTAAGTATTCATATTAAGTATTTATATTAAGTATTTATTTTAACTATTTATATTAAGTATTTATTTTAAGTATCTTGAGCTTTGTCCAAGCTCAAGAATGGTTCATTCCCATGTGCAGGAGTCATAGGAACTCAGACAAAGTTGAAGCACAAAAAGGAAGCATACAAGAGGTGGAAGCAGGGTCAGGTCACCCAGGAAGACTGTAGAAACATTCTCTGAGCATGCAGGGATGACATTAGGTAAGTCAAAGCTCTCCTGATGTTGAATCTGGAGATGGAAGTGAAGGGCAACACATGTTCTACAAATACATCAGGAGATCTGATGATAAAGGACATGGGAAAGGCTAAGGCACTACATGCCTTCTTTGTCTCAGTCTTTACTAGCATGACTGACTTCCAGGAATTCCAGGTAACAGACCAGTGGAAAAGACTGGAGCAAAGACGGCTTAACTTCTGTGAAGAAAGATCAGGTTAGGGCACGTTTAAACAAACTCAAACTGGTCCATGGGTCCTGATGGGATCCACACTTGAGTGCTGAGGGAGTTGGACAATGTTGTGAATCCACACTCAATCATCTTTGAAAAGTCACTGAAACCAGCAGACGTTCCTGAGGACTGGTAGAGAATAATGTTGTTCCTATCTTCAAGAAGGTCAAAGAGGAGGATCTGGGGAACTACAGGCTAGTCAGCCACATCTCAATCCCTGGGATAGTGATGGAGCAAACAATCTTGGAAACCATTTCCAAACACATAAAGGAAAAGAATTTGACTGGGAGTAGTCAGCATGGATTTATGAAGGGGAAATTGTACTTTACTAGCTTGGTGGATGAGGAGAGATTGGTGGATATTTTTTATCTCATCTTTAGTAAGCCTTTCAACAGCCTGCCATGAACATCCTTATTGACAAACCGATGAAATAGAAACTTGATAAGGTGACAATGAAGTGTATTGAAAACTATCAGTTAAGCCAGGCTCAAAGAGTTGTGAACAGATGCAAAGTCCAGCTGGAGGCCACCCATCAGAGGTATACTTCAGGGCTCAGTGCTGGGTACAACACTGTTTCATTGCTTCACAAATGACTCAGATGATGGGACAGAGTGCATTCCCTTCAGCAAGTTTCCAGATGATAGAAAATTGGAGAGGAATGGCTGATAGACACTAATGTTTTTCCTGCTGCCATTCATATGGAACTTGTCAGGCTGGAGAAAGGAGTGAACAGGAATCTTATGATGATCAACAAAAACAAAGGTAAAGTTCAGCACTGGGGAGGAATAACCTCATGTACCAGTACAAGCTGGTGCACAAGTGTCTGGAAAGCAACTTCCCAGAAACAGACTGTGGGGTCATCATAGACAACAATCTGAACATGAGCCAGAAATATGCCCTTGCAGCAAGCTGACCAACAGCCACCAGGGCTGCAGTAAGGAGACCTTTGGAGAGCAGTCAGCAGAAGTAGGTTATCCTTCCCCTCTACTCAGACGTGGTGAGATTTATTGAGTGCTAAATCCAGTTCTATGCTACTTACTATGAGACAGCCATGGACATACCAAGGCAAGTCTAGTTAAAGGCTATAAAGACGATCAAGGGATTGAAGCATCTGACATACAAGGGGAAGCAGAGAGAGCTGGGACTACTCAGCCTGGAGAACAGAAAGCACAAAGGGGGGGATCTTATCTATGCATATAAATACCTGATGGGAGGAGTGAAGATTACGGAAGCAGGCTCCTTTCAGTGGTACCCAGTGACAGGCAAAGAGGCAATGGACAGATATTGAAAAACAGAAAACTCCATTTAAACATTAAAAACAATTTTTTTTTCTGTGCACTGGAACAGGTTGCCCAGAGAGGCTGTAGAGTCTCTATCCTCGGAGGCATTCAAAACGTGACTGGACACAGTCCTAAGTAACCTGCTCTAGTTCATCAAGCTTTGAGCAAGCGGTTGGACTAGGCAATCTCCAGACATCCCTTTTCATTCCTTCTTTTTGAAATTCTACAACAACTGGATCAGGAGGAAGTGTGAATAACGCACACAGAGGCGAGAAGCATCTTTTCAACTGAGAAATCTGCACATCTGGCTGGGACAGGGTAACGCTGATAAATCTTCGGGTTTAAGGTGTTACTTGCTCTCCAGCTGTGACAAAATCAGTAGAAGACAGTGTGTGCTTAATGCCTTAGCTGTTATTTCAGTTTACCTGAACCTGATTTCAGCTTTGCTACACTGAGGTGCATTAACTCGATTGCCCTGTCAGACCCAGATGCAATGCAAATAACTGGCTAGGCAGGATAGTTACTAATATCCCAGAAAACCAATTTTTTTTTAATGCTAATATACCAGCACTGCGGAATGATTACCGTCATGTATTTTATCTGTCCACACAGATCAGCTTGGATATGCCCATGAATTAAATGTATGCACTGTCCTCAAGTACTATATATAAATAGTCCTATTTATAGGACTACTTGCCAGTCTACCAACAGATTACACTATGGTTGTAATTTAAAACTCTAAAGAGATAAGAAACACCCAGAATTAAAACTCCCTGTGCTACTTTTATTTTACTGTTATTTTTAAGAATGACATGTTTTAATAATATGATCACTTGTTATTGTTCTACACAGTCCTCAGCAGCACTAAGCAGGTGATTATTTTACATTTTGTTAACCTTTGTCAGTACATGACATGCCCAAAGCATCCCAATAGTCAACCCACCAGACAACTCCCAATTTCCTGATTTGTTCCCATTGTTTCTGTATGTGAGTACAGACTAGGTGATATTTTAAACTTAATTTACCAGTAAGAATCTGAGGCATGGATACCATAAGATCAAAATTGTCCTACTCATCCCCCAATAGTGTATGAACTCAAGACTTCTAGAGCACCATTTTGCATATTATCTTACATTTTATATGTTCAAAACACATGACTACAGCTATAACTGCAAGTACACAATGACTCTGAAAATCAAATCCCGGTGATAGCATGTGGGGTGCTAAAAGATGATGAACAAAATAGTAGCTCTCAGAGAGACTTTGCTCCCCCGGATAGGTCAATTTTGGCTATGGATGCCACAGAAAGCAGTTTTCCTGCTGTCAACCACACCGTGTGAGGACCTCTTTCATCAGTTATATTCACTATAATCAGACTTTGCAACAAATCAATGAAACAATAGCCTTGTTCATTCCCACAACAGCTGCCATCTAGGGCTCTTCTGCACATCAAAGGTACTCGTCTGGTGAACACTTACTCCCAAGGCTCTGAACTAGGATTACGCTAGCACTGTGTATTCCAACTTTTGCATCCTTAATTTTGCAACGTGATGGTTGTTCTCGTGTAGTTATTACATATAAAATATAGCAATTTGGAAAAAAATTATGAAAAATTCTGTCCTACAGATTCATGTATCCGTGCTGGGCCATTCATTCAACCACGTATGTATTAATCCATACCATATAAGTCTTACCGCATGATTTAACAAGGTTAATTTGTAGCCAAGTAGACCAGGCACTAGGGTCGGTACCCAAGGCCACAGCTCATGGGTGTGAAATTTCTTTACCTTTAGGAAAGAAGCATGTGACAGCAGTACTCTTGTTTGGCTTCCATGAGGCGATTCTCCTGTCTAATGCAACAAGGCTGGAGTAGACAGTGAGAATCTGGCTCACTGAAAGAGTCTTGTAAAGTTAGGTTCAGATCAGAAAAAAAAAGAATTAAGGTTAGAAAGGACCTAATCCAACCTCCACTCAAAGCAGGATTAGCCATGAGCCAGATCAGGTCACGTAGGGCTGGGGTTTAGTGAATCATTACTAATTGGTTGACCCACGGCAAATAACTACTTAACAACCATGAGCTCTCAAGAGCTACAAGGTAAAATGGCTCAGCTAGAGCCCATAGAAAGGTTTCAACTTCATCCTACATTTACTGAGGGCTAAAACTAGGCATATTTTTATTGTTAACTCCATTGTATGCTTGAGGCATAATTAAATACACCAAAGTCATACATTTCTCCATACATATTCCTCAAAATCCCCTGCTCCAAGTATTAAGAATTAGTAAAAAAGAAGAAATTTGCCAGGTACCTGCCCTCTTCTGCAGCCAGTAGCTTCTGGGAATCTTTCCAATAAAGCACATGTTTTTTGAACACTTTTACAAGCATTCTCATTTTTTCTTCCTAGTGAAAATAACAGCCAGAGCATTGGTAAGGGCAATGACCAAATATTTCCCTGTTTCCTGCTTTGCAGAAAATAACAAAGCTATCAAAGAGCTGACACTGAAAGACAGGTAAATATTATTATTCCCATTTTACAGATTGTGAAACAGAAGTATTTGAACACTGTAATATCAGAGCAGACTGCACATCTTTGTTTTTAAGTTATTTGTGAAGACTAGAATTTCCATAACTTTTTAAACATTACTCTAAAAGTATAAACAATAATGAGACTGCATAGAAAAAACAAAATGCCACCAACATCATACATTTTTGAAAACATTATATTTGGATATAACTTGCTTTTAATATATTAAGCATGATTCTAAAAGTATAAATGATAATGAGACTGCATAGAAAAAAATTATGGAAAAAGCCACCAACATCATTCTGCTTCAACACCAGATTATATTTTGATATAAATTGCTTTTAATATTTTATTTTACAGAACTCTTTAATATGCAGGTTTATATAACATTATGATTATAAAACTAAGTCTCTTAGAAGAGACTTACAAGTCATGGGCCTCCCTCTGCACAGCTCAGGGATAGGGCAGCAAGCTTGTAAGTCATATTCTTCAGCTCATACCATCCTCACCTTGCTGACAATACAGTATTGAGGATGTGTCTTCTCCCATGCTTCCGTCTTCCCTCAGGCTGCTCTTTACTATGCATCACCATGCAAAATGTTGACAGCCTTGTATCACTTGAAGGAGTATTACCTTCGAGCGATTCTTAGAAGTGCTTCAAGACAACATGGTTTAGAATAAAGAACTCTTGTTCCCTGTCACAGAGATCCCAGATGCTATTTTATTAGTTCCCTTCTTCTGCAGATTCAGTGATTATATAAAAGGTTCTGGAAAAAACTGTGTTGCTACTCCTTATTACACTGTATTAGTCTGAGAAAATGAGAAGAAATGAGGGGAAAGAGAAGAAATACAAAATGTTTTACCTTGTTGCCATAAGGTAAACTGGCTCCAGTCTCCTTTTTCTCGTAGATTCTCATCTTCAGGCAGGAAAAGGCTTCTTTTCTTATCCATCACAGCAAGCCCCTCATCCCGAATGAGCTTCCAATTTTTCTCTAAGGACTGTTGCGAAATCCAAGTTACTGCTCTGAGAACTTACTGTGTTCAGTTTTAGTACTGCTTTTATTTTTCCCTGCCATTATTAACTTTTTTTTTTAATTTAAAAGCACTAAAAAAAAAAGTGCTCATCATCATTATCAAGTTTCTTCATCCTCATTTCCCTTCTGACATATTAAAGCAGTAAACCCAACTGTCACAGCATTCCTCGGATTCAATTACATTTAGATCGTAAAATTTCAATAATCCCCAGCCTCTTTACAGGCTAGGCCTCACTTTGACTTGCTTTTTGATTAGCCTAAGGGCTCTTTAACAGCTCATTTTGTATTGCAAGCTAACAAATGTATTAATCTGCTGAAACACTACACACCTTACCTGGAAGCACTCCTGCAACTTACAAAACCACTCATAACCTGGAACTCCAGGCTTTGGCAGAACATTCCAGTTCAAAGAGGACAAAGGTAAACGCACCACTTAAGCTGAAAGCTATGATTTAAACCTTCAAAAAAGTTTGCAGAGATTCACTTGCACATGCTGATGCTATTGAAAAAGATCAAATACAACTTGAAATACCAGGTAATGATTTATGGACACAACCATTCAAAATGTGTAAGCTGCCTTGTACCTCATACATACCAAACCCACAAAATAGTACAATTAAAATTTCTGTTCTCTGCTGCCTTAGGACATTACATTTGTAAAAATCAAATAGATTAGAAAATCTTTTATTCTACCAATTATAAATCATTTTAATGGTACAGCAATATAAATGAAAAATCCACAGTGTAACAACAGATCTGGATAAAAGTAACTTCCATTTCCCAGCTGCTTACTTTGCTTACTAAACCTTATTTGTGTGAATAGTTTTCATTTTCTCTTTGTGCTCTTGAACAAAGCATTTCTGCTGCTTTGTCACCTCTAATCTTTCACTAATGCCCAGGCTGAAAATTAAACTGCAGAGATGGGTGTTTGTCCTCACACTTTAAAGCTTCTTCCCCAACTTACTTACTGGATACAAAGTGATTTGAACACGTCACTGATTTTGAACTAACTCCTCAATGGTTTTAGACGTAACTTCCCCTGAGATCAACAGCATCTCTGTGCTCCTAAAAACCTGATCCCATCTATAAAACACACTGATAGTGCTTTGCTATGAGTAATAGGTAGCTCCTAAGTAGAAATGAAGCGGGAAGATCAAATACAGCTCAGCCTTGATCTCCCTGATTTTACAGACTCTTAAACGTACCTTGGATGGGTAAGAATGCAAAACACCATTAAAACATAATGACTAAGTCCATGTCTTGGACTTACAGCTCTTGACCTGAGACCCATTACCTATAGCAAAAAGTTAAATATGCTTATGCTTCATGGTATGTAGGGATACATGCCTCAGGTTAGAGCAACAAATTTGTATTATATTTGGTGCAATATCCTGATTCCAAGTAAAGAACTAGGTGCCAACCAGCATTGAGAACATATGTGCTTGTTTCCTAGCAGCTGATTCCCATAAACCTCCATATGGCTTTTTAAATACAGTTCCTAACAATAATGGAAGTTTACAGTTGCTTTACATCTGGCAACAGTGTAGATTTTATTGGCAATGGCATTACTATATTTAAATAGGGATTTCTTAATATTGGTTTATTTTTATGAGTTACTATTATATTAAAAGAATCCTTACTCTGTGCTGTCAAACCCTTTCAATGCATAACTACTGAGTGCACGTCCATTTTAATCCATTGGACTATAAAATTAAAACATGGTGTAGACTTTACTTCTCTTAGTTACTGAAAAAGAGGAGGAGAGTATTCATGATCAGTTACTGTGTCTCTGCTGGGGAAATGCTGACAACCTCCAAGTAAGGAGCAGTATTTTAAACCTTTTAAAATAGATTCATTGCACACATTGGGTCACTCACAATGCTTAAGCATCAGCACTTGTATGCATCATCTCTGCTCTTTCCAACACAAGGCTCCCCTTAAAGCATCCAGCCACACTTTAAATGCACATTTCAATTTAATTTCTCTATTAAATATGAATGTTTAGCTATTATTAGATAACCCATTAAGCCCTAGCTGTCACTCTACAGAAAATATTATGGATATGTGGTGTTGCCAGTAGCTTAATTCTCTTTCGGGCTTTTCTTGCTGCACTTGAAACTTTCAATTAATAAAATCTAAGCCATCAGAGAAAACTGACAATACAAGATCTACTTTAATCAATCATCTGTTCACTGTAGTACCTTATTGGCAAAGCATCTTCCAGGTCCTTTCCAAAAGTCAAAGGACACAGCATGAGGAAAGGACAAAGTTACCTGGTCATTACCTATGTATTAATTTCAGGCTGGTGAAAAGACTCCAGGATCCAATAGCATTTTACCCCTTTCATTGTTTTTTAAAATGAGCACCAGAATAGAAGAGTAATGCTGAGGTTTTACAAAAGGTACCAGGGAATGATGCAATGACTCAGTAAGAAAGGGAAGTTAATTGTCCCAAGGGAATAGGACAGGTTTTCAAAGGTAAAAGAAAGGTTTTCTTTTAGCTGAGCTCAAACAAGAAATTTTCTCGACTCTCTGGGTCCAAAGGCCTGAAATACCATAGATCAGAAACATCAGCAGAACATTTCTACATATATCACTTGATACTAAGCTAAAGGTTTGTATTTTCTGCTCTCTGTGAAACCAGGGAGAAACCCTTCTTACTCTTTCAAGAAAACTACAACAAAATTAAGCTCCAATGGGTCACAGATAGAGAGAAGCAAAAAAAAATTAAGCCTTAATGGGTCATAGCTAGAGAGAAGCAAAGTACCACTGAGCAAGATTTACCACCATCATAAATATCCTGGTAAGTATTACTGACATATCCCCAGTCTCCCCAGACATCCAGGCAAGTAAGTAATAGAGAAGGAAATAAAGTATGAGATTGTCATCTTTAATCTTACCCATCAGACAGTTAAACATCAAGCCTAAATTAATTGCCTAGGCTTCATTTTTTAGTAAATCAGTAGGAAACTTAACACCAGGAAGGGAGACATGCCATCCTTAGCTATTTAATGTAGTAAAAATTAATCATCCTCTAGAAATACTTTGATACCTGTAAACTAGATCACTAGCAGACAATATGCCTTGCATCTGTATGACTACAGTTAAGTGAGCTGAATGCCCCTCAGAAGGAATTTATTAAATGAGAATTTAATTAAATTACGAGAATACTGAAAAAGGACAATCTTCAGGCTTTTGGTGGAAAAAAGCATTGTCAAAATTCACATCTCTGTCTCTAGTGCCAAGAAACTACACGACCCTTTACAACAAAATCAAGACAGGTCTGTGCTATAAGATGCCACTGATCACAGGTGTGCTGCTTAATAGAATGAACCAAAGAAAGCTGACAGAGAGTCTGGTTTTAGAGCTGTCTCAGTTAATCGCAAACAAATCTTCAGTTAGCATTGTTGAACTACCATGATATTGAGAATTGTCCATTCACATTTAACAACAAGCAGCGAAACACAGGGAGAGAGGGTCAGGGCCTCCAATACTTCATACAACAACTTTCCATGTCAAATTTTATCATTGGGATTTGGTAGCATTTCCCACACAGAAGCAAGAGGAATGTAATGAGATGAAGAGGTAAGAAACAATGTTGTTTTGTTGTTGTTTTTTTGGTTTTGTTTTTTTCTCTATTGAAACATGTACAGAAGTTGGAATATTTCAGAAATTAATAAACCCAATGTCTTCAATGATCTTTTGCCATTTTCTGGAGAACACTGCTTCAAATTCTGCTTTCAGCATTGCATGTTACTAGAGACAAGCCTGCTTTCCTTCAGAACTTTCTTGAGTTATGGGGGAAACGCAATAATACAAATATTTTTTCCTGATGCATTTAACTTACATTTTAGGTTTATACTTTCAACTGTGAATGTTATCTTGCAGAATGCAAATCTTACCATCCCTGAATTATGACAGGTATGTAAGTAAATTTGCAGTCACAATTTCAACCAGATTCAATGACATATTGCTAGTAACATAGCTAAAAATATATATCACAGAATGGCTGGATTGAAGAGGTATGACTGGATTTCAGAGAGCCAGCTGTGCTGTGGAGGTCAGGGGTGAATTTCCACCCTTGTTGGTCTTCTGAACAGCTCTTCTAGGAGCCACAAAGGATGCTGATCCAAATCATGAGCTCCATATGTTGACTGATCCACCTGAAAAAAATCCCTTGCAGGTGGAGCCCTTGGCATTTTATAACAGGAAACTGAATTCTTTCAGCCTTCAAAGCTGACTTATCTCCTCATGCCAAGGGTAAGGAGACCATTACCTTCTGCAATTTAATAATTTGAATGGTTTACTGTAAAACATCACTGCAGATTGCTCTGAAACATCAATAAAATAATATATATTCTTTCCTTTTAGTTTGGCAAAAGTATAAGAAGTTCCTCGTTTCTCCATCCCTTTTATGGCAGTAAGTATCTATTCCTACACATACCTCAAGAATGAGTTTACTAGATGACCATTTCAGATCTTCCCAAACACCAGTCAATAAAGGTAATTGCTTTTTTGTGTGACTAAGATAACACTGGAGAATCACACTTTAATATAAATTTCCTAGCCTTATTTATGCTGCCATCAAAATTATAACAAAGAATAATCTTCCTTTTGTAATTTCTTTCTAATAAAATTATCCTTTTATAGTAGGTTTTTTATCATGTTATGTAACTAAGTATAAAAGAAAAAACAACCACTGAAAGAAAATCTCTTGCAAATAAATTATTTGCATAGAATAATTTTGCTAAGCCATATACCAATAATTAAAACATACAGGGAAAAAAGTTCTTCCCCCATTTTAATTCTTACTTTTTAAGGATTGTTATAACCATTATTAAAATATTACAAATTCTGCAACTTGGGAAATGAAAACTGTTATATGAATAACAACCAGACTACTTGCTTTGCACGAAATAGAAAAAGAACTTTAAAGAACTGAAATTCTGTGTTGTTATCTTTTGTTAAATCCACCTCTGGGCATCTACACTTGCTTTGCCTACCTTTAGATTAGCATTTTCTCTGTTTAATACCTTAGATAATAGTTCTCATTATAAAAAAATAAATAAATTCAAAGTATACAGAAACAAGCTGCCTTACCTTCACGAGTTCCATATAACCAGTTTCTCTTGCTGTCCACCAAGGCTGAGCTTTCAGTCCCTTGACATTGTAGAGGGAGCGCTGCCACACTGATGCGAAGTGACCTCTTTGGTATCCAAGTTCATACCACTTGTATGCCTAAGAGATAACGATTGTTAACAACCAAATTCATATCAGCCAAGTTCCTAGACCCAACTAACATTCCCAAAACAGATTCATTGGCCAAGGCTGTCCAATCCATAAGCAAAATAGGATAATCTTCTCACAACCATTCACACCAAATATGGGTCAGTAATCTAGTTGCTAGGCAGGAGCACCTCTTACTAAACCATATCACCCAACGCTCTGTCCAGCCTGGCCTTGAACACTGCCAGGGATGGCGCATTCACAACTTCCTTGGGCAACCCATTCCAGTGCCTCACCACCCTTACAGTAAAGCATTTCCTCCTTATATATAACCTAAGCTTCCCCTGTTTAAGTTTTAACCCGTTACCCCTTGTCCTGTCACTACAGTCCCTAATGAACAGCCCATCTCCAGCATCCCTATAGCTCCCCTCCAGATACTAAAGTACTGTAAAGAATGCTGACCTCTTGAGTACCCAGTCAGCAGAAAGTTCTCCAGTATGAACTGTGTAGATAGATGGGCTATAATGAAGTCTATGTATGTGATCTTTCTCAAGCCTAGTCCATCAGGTCAGCTTTCTTTTTTTATAAATCATGGAAATTTTATTGCAGTAACCTATACATACAGTAAATTTATAACATTGAAATGTAGTAACATCTGAATTTTGTAAGTTAGAGTGCTTTCTCTGAAATATTCTTACAATTAAGTTGGGATTTTTTTTTAATTTAAAAGTTCATTTACAAGTGAGAATCAGTAGGCTTCGTTTTACACTTACACACAGAGTCTGCTTGCACATGTTCTCCCTCTCTGTTTGAATGTCCTTCTCTCAACAGAAAACCAAAAATGAAGTCCCTGTAGGCTTCCCTTCCAACCCTAACTATTCTATGATTCTATGACTCTATTACAAGATAACTAACTAAAAGGAAGTGCATTTCATGGCTCTTTTCCACTATGCTTTTTAATGCTTATTCTCTTCACATTTCCCATTGACGAACCTGAATGGGTTTGGGTTTGTTTTTTTTTTTTTGTTATTTTTAAATTCATACCTGTAGTAAAGTTCATTACTAATAACATTCTTTAACAAAACCCTTTGATCCCCTACCATAACAGGAGGGCTAATTCACACATTCAAATTTGGCTTTAAAATGAAATACTGTTTTAAATTAACAAATTAGATATTCATATGGCTTCCAGTGCCATGCTTGTTTTCACTGGGCACACAACAGATTTGTTCACAAATTCCTGCTTTTCTGATCTCTTTGCTAATTTCCTTATTGAACATATACCATAACTCAGCCGACACATTCAGTCTTCTCATGGTCTTTTATCACATACTTGCTGGTGCTCAAGGTCACTTCGGGAAAGAAGAAAGGTTTGCGAAACACTCTTACACCAGAGCTATGACAGAACTTCTATACAGTGATAATACACATAACTGTATTTTTTGAAGTCTGGTTAAAATCTTTGTGGTGGTAGGAGCTTAAAAGAGTCTCTAAAAACACTGTCACTGAATTTCCAGAAGACTTCTGTTCCCTCAGTTCAAACTGCTCCATGCAAGCTTCAAAAGTTTGGGTTAGTTCTAAAGCAAGCGATGCTAAGAGGTTTTACTGCCACATCAATGGCAGATTTTTTGCTGTTGCTCATCTTGACCTCTATACACATATACCAGATAGTTGTTGCAACAGACTACTCATGTTTTCAACACTGAGCCCATCACTGAAGGTTTTTCTGTATTCTGCAGTCTCTCAGAGGTTTAGACTTTCAAGCAAGAACACATTAAAAACGTACGTCTTTGTCTCCCATTCTCTGCAAGGCATCACCCAGATGAAAATAAAAGCGTCCATCATCTGTGCCAGGATCACCAGACTCTAGTCCTTCCTATTAATAGAAACAAAAAATGTGTTAGAGAAACTTCAACAGGACCTCTAAAAGTAACCTGGAACTTAGGCTGTATGAATACAATACTTCAGTAAAAAGCTATTGAGAAATGTTTTCCAAATTCCATGGCCTCTCTGCTCAGTCCTTCCAAGACAGAGGTGTATTCAAAGATGGACGCTTACCCCATACCCTATAAACATATACACAAGTGTTTTAGAAAGCTTAATTAAGGCTTTATTTTTGTAGTACTTCCTTCCCAAACACCCAGAAGTATACAAGCCCTCTCTGGATCTTTCAAGAACCTTAAGTTTGCAGCATACTGCCAACCTCAGCACAATCACAGCTCACAGTACACAGCTCACAGCTGTGTACTTTGGGTTAACAACTAATAAAACAAACACATGATATTCAAGAACTGATGAGTCTCAATGTACAAGCTTGCTCCATGTCACAGACAGTGATCCACCAATGTAGCTTACACTGTGATTTGTAATTCATATGCTCCTGGCTTGACATGTTTTATACATTTCAATTATATTTTTTTACTAGTAAAACATTTACTGTGGGTGAGAAAACAAAAATACCTTTAGATAGGGTATGCTCTCTGCTATCTTGTTTTCTGCCTTCAGGATGAAGCCATAATGTACTTTGGCAAAGCCATCATTTGGAGCCAGGCTTAGAACCTGCATGAGAGCAAATCAATTAAATTCACACATGTATGGATCTATGCAAATTAACATACCTGTGCACATATTACTATTTAGTAATGGAATGACATTTTCTTCCATCGCTGACTCTCAGATGAATTCTTGGCTTGGCTGTACTTTTTTTCCCCACTCACTTTTGTGCTTCTCCAGAAAAATCTACTACAAACCAAACTTTAAAGTCTCAGAAGTAAAAGCCTTACAACCAGAGTCTCTGAATTGCTTTTTGGTTTAGTTGTCTGTCCTTCTCCACCCTCTCTTTTGATGTACAGCATGCCACATTACACAATTAACACCATTCATGATAGTTGTGTGCTACGCTCTTTGACCAAGACCACGACCTCACAAGCTAAATTAAGCTAAAAAATTTTGTACCCTGAATAAGACTTAGACACTTAGTCTTGATCTACTTTCCAGGTCCACATTTCTATGATGTATATACTCAGTATTATTTGTAGTTCTATGTGATATCAATTACAAGGTCAAGTTAATCTGCTGTTACACCTCTTCTTAAAATAAGGGTGGATGGTCTTATCGGGATCTGTGAGGATCATCACAAGAGCCTGGCGGTTGGTGGAATTACAGAGGCTGGTACCTGCTGAATGTCTAGCACAGCTGCTAAATACAAAACAACAGACAGATGAGCAATTGCTCTTGCCTGAATCTATTTTTGAAGCTACTAAACTTACGCCATGGATAAAACGTCTGCATGCATTATAGCTATTTTCCTCTGCCTTTTCCAGTCACTGTCTAATCTAATCTTTCAATCAAAGTAATTGATTGAAAACAACAAGTTCTCTGGGCCAAATTCTCTGCTTTCTCAAACCTTACTACCACATCTAAGCAAAACCAAAATCAGCACAATGTGGGTATAAAATGTTGAGTTAAAAATAGCAGCATTTAACTTTCTTTTTTTCAGAAAAGGGCTACTATGAAGGATCTATCAATTTTTGAATCTATCTGAAGTCCATAATATGAGACATTATTTGGAAAAAAATGAACCTAGCAAGTCAGAGTAAGGATGAGCTTGACCCCTAGTATAAGAATAGCATACCACCTTATACATCTCCTGCCTTTTGACTACAGCATTCTGTGCATAATTATTTTCATCCAAGAATCTGTACCTGCAGGGTGAAAAAAAATGACTGGCAGAAATATTTATTAGCCATATAATTTTGTTGCAGTTTCTTTAACTATAGGATAAGGCTATGTGATTAATTAAGACAGAACAGAATTTTCTGTATTACGGTTCATTTAAACTATGCCGAGTTGCATTAAGGCATGATCTACATTCAGACCCCTAAAGAGAAGTGAAGAGATACAATCAGCAGAAATTACACTGGAAGTATTTAATGTAAATTGTATTACTCTGTTGCTGTTGCTGCATGCAATATTAATTATGTTTAGAAATAAGTTTTACTAAACTGCTCATAGCTCATTAAATATTAATCATGAATATAGAAATTAACCTCTGGGGCTACCAATGGCTAATTAGCCAGGGCAAAGTACTATGTTAATTTGGGTAATATGCTTTTGGTACCTGAGATAGCTCAATCAGAGCTGGCTTATGTACATCTGAATAATGCTGCACTGAGCCATGCAGACATGCCTGAGCATGGCAGACAGAAAAAGTGCTATTAGCAGAGTAACTGGTCTTATAAAATTCTCTTCCATTATATTTTATCATTATCTGTAGATCCCTGAAAACAAAAATAGCTCTAAATTCCATGAGGGCTACTTTAAATATTATGTTTTCTTTGAAAATAAAAATAGCTCTGAATTCTAGGAGGACTACTTTTAACATTATGTTTTCCTGTCCCTAAGTGTAATGTTTGAAAGAAAACGCTCTAATATTAGAGGCAAAACTGAAATTGTCTCCAGCTGGACACCATTTTCCATCTGTGGTTCAGCATAAATTCTGGCAAATGCATACTAGAAAAGTGTATTTGTGTTAGACTATACCACATTATAGCTCTAAGTATGAAACTCTCTTGATCTGAGGTGCGGTGTTTATACACATCACTTCCGCAGCTAAAGGAAGGCACATATTTAGAGTTTTGAAATAAAAATGTGATTACAATACTTCAACTTCTGCTAGAACATAACAGATTTGGAATGGAAAATAATAATTGAATGGAAAAGAAGTAAACTGGCTATTAAATGTAAAGAAGAAAGTTTCATTCACTAGGATTTGGTGCGCATCTATTCCAGTTCCTTGGAGATGATGCAAGCTGGAGTTAGTCTGGTCTGAAATGGTATATCTCAATGTAGGGGACAGTGCTCATGAAGGGTCCAGCTAGCTGTGTGTGCTCAGCCCATGTTTACACTGAATTAAGATCAAAATGTTACAGCAGGAAGCAAAGGATGAAACTGGTACATTTTGCCCAGGAATCTAGCAGTTTCCCAGGAAATGGGAAATTTGGAGTCCAGATTCTCCTGCACAGAAGAGTGTTAAACTACTTGGGAACTTGCCTGAGGAGCAGAAACAAGTACCACGTGCACAAGAAGTTAGACATCCATGAGGAATGGAACCAGAAGGAAATCAACAGAAAGCTGAGCCTTTAGTCAAACAAGGGATGTGTTTTCTTGATGATGAGTCCTGTGCTCTGCTCTCTCTTTCTAGATGTCCATGACTTCTTCATTAAAGAATACTTGCATAAAATGTAGAACCGTCCTTACAGTGGGCACCAGAACCCAGGATTTATAAATACTGGAGGCATCTACTCTGCAACATTGAATTCCTGCTTTCGTCTGTGCTCTCTTATGTTTTTCTATCAAAAGTCTAACTTGTCCTACACTAGTGAGAACGATTCAGCTGCACTACAGAAATTTCCCTGGTTTTTAAAAAAATCATGTGAAGAGGAAGATGTCTCCTGAAAGCCCCCATAATGACCCTTCACTGCTTGTCCTTCTCTTTATTGACTATACAGAGAACTTGAGTAACTATGGTTGGAGCTCCAAACAACATATCAATCACTTTCTAAACATGTACTGCAACAGCTAAGTGAAGCTGTCAAGAGAAGACCATACAGCCCCTGAGCAATCTGCCCAAAATCATGTAAGAAGCCTTCAGCATAATCAAGAATAAAAGCAGGTACACATGAGCTTCTTTCTGTTTCTTTGGCTATGTCTCCTTTCTTAAAATTCTTCACGTAAATTTATCCTGAACTACAAGAAAGAAAAAAAAAGACATTCCTGTGTTGGAAATCAGCCTGAGGAATAGCCAGAATGATTTTTAAATACAATAAATCCAACTCCTTTTAAAAGGTATTTATTTGTTTCTCTTTTACAAGGACAGAACATCACTATGATCTATACTATTTCAGTGGTTAGTGAACTGCAAAACAGAGTAATTACATTGGATAAAGGCCACGGAAGCATGGAAAAGAACATATTAAAAGCAGACTAGTTCTTATTTTGCATACCTGTTCTTAATCAGAGCAGTTCGGAAGTATATAAAACTTGCTATCAAAGTAATTATATAGCAAACTCATTACATTCTTACACTTATAAAAAGCCCTGTGTTTATCTATACTGAGAAATTCTAGTAACTATATTGTTTGCAGCAAAATAGTGGAAACTTGCAAAGGAAAATCTTGCTCAAAAGGAGTATGGTTTTGAAGTTCCTTGCAGCTTAAGAAGCAGGTTCTGTTAATATAGTCTATCTTTAAAAGCTGATACTTCCAATCCTCTGAGAAATTCTGACAGCAGGCCAAAGATTATCACACAGAAATGTTTTATGGAGGGACTTACAAAGTAGCCAAAGGAGCAAAGCAAACACTATTCTGGCAACATCTGAGACTACCAGAGGAGCTTGAAGAAAAAAAAATGGCATTATCAGGGTTTGGCTTCTGCTTCCAACCATGTGGCCAAACATCCTCTTCTTCTCTGAGAAACTACCTGAGATGAGAATCCCCTCAGACTTGATGTAGGGGATGGAAAACTAGGCTTATATTCTCAGAAGGTGGTACTAATGATGCTGACTTATCTTTGGTCTATATAACCAGTCAATTACAGTACCATGCCTGTACTAATGAGTGCTGCAGCAAGTGTGCCATCATCTTTGATCAGCCGTTGACAGCTTGTGCTCTACCAGTGACATCAAGCTCCATATCTGTCAAAGTTTCTAGATGTTAACAGGGTTTCCAGATAACAGAGCAGGGTGGCCCTTCCTGGCAGTGAAGTTTCCCCAGCTCAAAAACCATAGTGTAAGATGGGAATATAAATCCAATGAACTGTCCAAACTACAAGCATCAGGAAAGAAAAACAGAATTTAGGCTCCCTACAAAACTCGTGAAAAAACAAAGGTTAAATGCTGTGTGAGCTCTGAAATACTGCATCATGTAATTAGACAGAATGTTTCTGTAATGAAACACACTTTCTTCTGCTTTCCACATCTAAGATTTTTTTTTAATACTATACATTACATCTGTGTTGTCAATATATTCCAAACCTTGCTACCACAAGGTATAAGAAATCAAATATTATTAAGCATATGAAAATCATCTGCATTTCTCTATGAGGAAAAACATGTAGCATGACAGTATCAGGAAATCTGATTAGAAGACATTTTAAAATGGCACTAAATAAAACCCCAGGAAACCAACAAATTGTGTATCTATATTAACCTTTCAAAACCTGACATGCAAAATGTCTAACAACTGAAAAAGTTAAAAGCAAGCAGTCTTTAGAATGAACATATGAATGTAAATGATATTTTTCCTTGGCTAGAATAGAAACTCACCTCTTCATATACTTTCTTGGCATTGCTGTTATCTCCTATCAAGAGGTAACCAACACCAAGATCATTCTTGAACGAAGTGTCACTGGGAAACAGCTGAACTAATTTCTGCAGAGTAACCAGGGAACCCCTCATGCGACCTAATTTGATTGAAGAAGACTCAATTACATATACAGGTAACAGTAGCAAGATGCTTACACAACATCTAAGAAAACATAAATCAGAGCCAGGTGTTGCATTTTCACTAATGATCAAGAAGCAGAACTTGAAAAAACCCTTGTGCAGATAGGAGCAGATTCAGCTGCTTGGTTGTCACTGCGGGTGCAGTCATATAGGGAGTATGTCAGGAAAGCAGTGCAAAGGCATATCACGCAGTGTTATGGTAACCTCTAGTGGAGAACTGCTCACAGTGTAGCAGTTCAACATTATTGAAGCTTCGGCTGCTCTTTCACACACAGATTTCAGAGTGCTCAAAAAATTAGGTAAACATATGAAAATAAATGTAATCTTAATTGATTACACAATTAAAAGCATTTTTAGTGTTACGCAATAGTTCTAGCATATTTCCATTATGGCATTAACTGTGCTTTACACACTTAAAATCAAGTATGTTCCTCAACTTCCTAGGTAAGGTCTTCTTGAGGAACAGCAAGATCAAAACAAGTTGATAACAAAATCCCACTGATCGGAACAGAACTCTTTTCTGCAAAGTTGACTGTGCCTCATAGTCTATTCAGCACTTCTCGTGCAACCCAGAATTGAGATCTAAACTTCCAGATGTTATCCCCTGAGTTCAATTTCATTAGTCTTCCCGTTCAATGAAAGTTTACTCTGGGTATGTTTACTCTGTGTAAACCATTAATTTCCTCATGAGTTCTCTCAGCTTCAGTAGAAAAAGAAGATTATTTTCTTCTTTCTCTGTCAGTAAAGGTTTTTTGACTACCTCCCATCATAGCTTCTCAGAGCACCCAGTGAACTGCTGTCCACAGGCACTATCACCACACAAGCAACTACAGACATTACTTCCTAGAAAACATTTAAAGAATCTTAAAATATTTTTCGTAAGCATTTAAGAGCTTAGGATCACAAATCCTATCAAAATTTCAGAGTAATCGGCACTTACAAATCCTTGGTGATCTTCTGAAAGTCTTGCTGCACAACTTCCAAAACATTCACACCACTCTTGAATCTTACCAAGAAACTGCTGCCTGTCTGCTTCTCTTTTCAAGCTGAGTTTTATCAGATCTGAAGGGACATTTGGCAGACTAACCACTTCATCGTAGGTGTTGATAGCTTTTTGCAGCATCTCATTACTTCTCATTTTCTCAGCTAAGTCATCTTCAGACTAGAAAGAATCACAAAATAATCCATCAGGCTTAAAAATAACATTGTCTTCTTAAAAGGCAAACTATACAATTGTTAAGATTATGGGAATAATTTTAGAATTGCCTTTAATCTTTATAATTTTGGCATAACAATGAAAAACTTTATTGGTTGTGCTTTATGGTATGGTAGATCAGAATTACTGTTATTTCTTGTTTCCTATGGACTGTTTGAAAGCATAAGAAATTTTGCACCTAAAACATACATTAACATGGAATTTTGGCTATTCATAGAATTCATAATTTCTGCTTTTGAAAATAGAGGAAGCAATCTGCTTTTATAATATAGAAGACATGCAAATGGGTGACTACGGATTATTCGTATGCTAAGCCTCACACTGGCAACAAGACAAAGATCAAAACACACAAACAAATATTTCTTTCATATATTCTGACACTAATTTATATATACATTTTTTAGAAAACTAATTAGGAGTTGACTTTACTTTTGCATATGTTGACAGGATATCTACCCTACAAGTCTTTCAGAACTTAGATTTGTTCAAGTTCAGGAGCAGACCAAAGGGTATATGAGATCTCTACTGTGAAATTACAGCTTTGGTGAAGCTAATGGAAGCTACAACTGTTTTCACCTGTGGTACGGCATTTTCGTAATTTGTTTCTGTAGCTGAAAAAAGTAAGACTGTACCTCAAATGCTAATTTTTTAAAGCTTTAGTTTGCATTGTTTATACAAATGCAGGCATTTTCATATGTTCAATGCATTTTTCCCAAATAGTTTCATTTTTTTGGTTTACATTCATTCTTATGTCAATTAGAAGAACACGATATGATGCACCACTTCTGCAGGTGCAGAAAGTCTTATTGATCTGTTTAAATTCACTCTTGTATCAGTCATAGACTTTAATGAAACAGCTTCAACTGTGTTAGCTGCATCTGCTGTAGTAAGTATCTGGAATCTTTGTGTACTTCTGTCCTTTACTTTTTATCCTTCATCTACTTTGAAACTGAATACGTGAAAAAACAAACAGCATGGTTACTCAGCCAAACAGTCGATAGACTGATGTTCGTTATCCTTTTAACACTCCCTCTATAAAAACTCCAAGTCTCCTTCTCTACTCCCACTAAGCAACAAGCAGCATTTAGCCCACAGATGGCACGTTGATTTACCAGCTGCAGCGAACAGTATAACAGCTAAGTTCTGCCTGTTGTTCCTGTACTGGGACATTAGCCTGGATGTATCGCTTACCATTCATCTGACAGTTTTCATGGAATGTACTGGACATATCCTATTTTTGTGTTATTTACAATACTTTCCACTAAAGTTAGACAAAAGCTCCCAAAGTAATTGGAGAAGGATAGAAGCCTGAAATAGATACAATATGACAGATCACATAATTCTGTTTTTCCCTAGGAACATCCCTAACATTATAAATGAAGTCTGACTGGGGTTTAGAACTTCATTGTTAAAAAAGGTTTATCGTTTTTAATATTATAGCTTTTTTTTTTAGTACCTGTGCTTTCCCGTATCTTGCTCGAGGACTCTGTGGGTACTGATTCACTAAAGCCTCAAAGGCCCTTAGAGCTTCTTCAACTTTTCCCTGGAAAGTAAAGATATTTATCAGCACTTTTATCTACAAAAAATGCTGAAGGATGTACAGCATAACAACACAGTTCCCCCAGTTAAATACAAAATAAAAACAAAGAGATGGACACAATCAACAGTTTTCATTCATATTTTTGTTGGGATTTCTGCTTATTTAAGACAAATTTGTTATTATTATTTATGAAACAATATTATCTATTTTCCATGGTTAAAATTAATGGTTTTGTTTTTATTTTACTTGCATTCCCTTTGTTGGCTGGAAATGATAATAACCTGTGTATATAAAAGTGTAAAGGTTTATTGTTAACAACAAATTCCAAACAGAATGTAACAGAGAATAAAACAGAAATTCTAGACATATGTGGAAACTTCCTCTCTGCATACCTCACATGATGAACAGTATTGTAACTACTGTTCTTTTAGAGGAAATACTGTTTTGCAGAACAGTGTTCCTCAGGACACCCCAGTGTGCTCCGAGTCTCTTCCCTGACTCATATAAACTCCAAGTGTAACTGTGATATAGTCTCATGACTGATGCTGGCTAACAACTAAGGATGGAAGTTGAGAAGAACCAGCTGTGCTGTTTGAATGGGAGCTACGCACTGCTTGGCAATATTTGGCATCACATCTTGCTGCCATTTCCAACACTTATAGATGTATAAGTATGATTAGACTATCATAAACAACTGTCTTGCTATCTTCAAATATTCCATATCTCTTATTTGCTACTAAATTTATCCTGCTTCCTACACGACAAGCATGATTGCCTGCAACTCACTAAGAGACACAGGCAGGAAAACAGGAAAACAGAGTCACCCAACTGACCCTACAGGCTCATCAGTAGTTTCTGTTGTGCCTTTCTCTGATTAACCAATTGTTTAAGTCACAAGAAGCATGAAACTGCTTTTTATTTTTGTATTCTAACACATAAGCAAGGCGCCTAGTTAAGAGCAGCAGCAGTGGCACAGCTGAGGTTAGTGCTCTCTATGTAGTAGCCCTTCAGCCTCATCACAGACTCCAGGGCTGCGCAGACAGCAAAGTAAAGCTAAAAATGCATACTCAGTGAAAATCAAGACTATTCCTACATCTGCAGTAACCAGAATAGTTTTTATTGTACTGTACTGGGAATGAGTTTGAGCCATGTCAAACCCAGGCTCCAGACCTGCAGGTGTTCTCCATGTGACAGGACTGTCTGTGAGGCATATCAGCTTTTACAAGATTTACATCCAAAAGACTTAAGGTCTCTCATTTCTAACAAATAGTCACATAGCCTTGCTTCACTATTTAACCTCAAATCTGTAAAAGAGAAATCTCTGCAAAGGTCTTGTTTTCTGAAACACTCAAATAATGAATAAAATTGGAAGTTATCAGAGGAGATGACAGAAGAGTTTTTATTGTTGGGGGGTTTTATTTGGTTTTCATAGTCAAGTTTTTAAATTCGTAACTACCAAAACTGACTGATGTTAATGCCTTGCTGCCTCTGGTGACAGGCAGGAAGATCTGCTTCATGCTCTAAGGAGCTGAGACACACAGGACACACACAGAACTGCAACAGAAACAGTGCCTACTAAAAAGATGTGCACCTAATGCTCACGAAGTATATGAACACTGAGAGATTAACATGCTTATATTATTTAAGTTCTCTGATAACAGTTGACTAGTCAAAAGGACAACAGTGATAGGACAAAATTAACCCTGCTCCCTGTGATTAATTTAAGCATTTTTTTGATGAACTCAACAGTTAAGCTAAATACTTTCAAGGTTAAAGGTGAGCAAACATGCATGAACAGACATGCATTTTTGATTTCAAAAAATTTAAACTAAATTATGCAGCAGAAATGAAATTTAAAGGACAAATATGCACTGAATGTTTAATTTTAAAAAGTTAATTTTGCAGAAACTAACCTGAAAGTAATTCTCCCTTTTTCTAAGTTTTTTTCATTTTATTTATTTTTGTCTACAGGCCTGACTGAAACATTTAAAAACTTACTTTTTTACGTAGTTTTTCTGCAGCATCTAGTTCAGCCTTAATGGTCTTATCAAACTTGTTTAAGAGCTTTGGCTTCTTCTTCTTTTTAGCTAGAAGAGATTTAAAAACCACACCGTTCATTACCTTTTTCATATTTCACATCAGCTGTTTAGAATAATGCTTAATTACTGACTAGTACTGTGCTGGTAAAGTGCATGATTTTCAAGTAAGGCAATTGAAATTGATTTTTTTACTTACTACAATCACAAATTCCTGTATGAAAAAGCAATCTTCAGTCATTCCAACTGAATAACTTTGCAGTTGAGTTTTTGATAAAGGATTTTTCATCTCATATATTGAAGGATTTTTTTTTTTCAATTAGTACAATTGAAATGGAAAAATTAAGAGAACAGGTATTTTTTTCACATTTATATGGTATTATGAAAAATAGAATTACCAGGACATATTATCAGCTTCTAAAGTTGTGTCTATGTATGTCTACTTCGTCATCTAAAGCAATTAAACGAGTTTATAGAAATCATAGTTACTTAGGGTAGGAGGGACTCAAAAAGTCATGTAGACCAAATTTCCTGCTGAAAACATGTTCAATGCTGAAATGCCTGATTAAGACCTCTTGAAGTGATCAAGTCTCCACAGTTTAGCATGCTACCACACAGTAGCAGAGCAGCAGTATTTAGTAAACCAGCCTTGGAGTAAACTGCATTTGAAGCAAATTGAAGTAAATTGTGTCAATTTAAACAGCTATTTACTTCATAGCAGTTCACTCTTAAACAATGTCTATTTGGTTACAATAAGTAGATTAGATGTTAAAAAAATGCAAATACACTACTGAAGGATATGACAGTACGCAACTGCTTTTCCCCACATTTGCTATAGCTAAACTCGGTTTCATTAGGAAAAAACCCAACCTTTTCTGACATAAGTAAGGAAAATACATATTGGCTGATTCAAGTGACTACTAACTATGTATATCTGTAATTGGTAGTACATATTGTTGCTTAAATTATGCATTACTGTTTTTTTCCCTGTATGGAAAAGAAGTCATTAACAGCATGAAAAGAGGTAAAATTATTTTCTTTGTAGAAGTTTAAACAGGGAATGCTTTAACTGATATGTGTAAAGTTGAACCCAAACACCATACAGCTTCAGATCACAGACTGCTTCAGTGCTGTAAGCAAGTATTTTGGATAACAAGGTCTTGTAACTAGCCATGTTTTATTCTGCTTCCCAAGTCCTTGGGTGCACGCTTCAGGAATGACAAGAGCCACCCACATGCTACTAGAAGCTGTGCTCATGATTCATTAAATGGTACTTTCTCCCTGAGACTCTGATGATACACAGAGCTTGAGGCAGGCAGATCATTTCAGCTACTTCAAACCCCAGAGAAAAACCAATGCCTTAAATGTCCTGGGTTCAGCAATAGCAGTCATTTTTCTCCTTCTCAGTAGCTGGTGCAGTGCTGGGGTTTTGACTTCAGCCCGGGAACAGCGCTGATAACACCGATGTTTTCAGCTGCTACAAAGTAACGGTTACTCCGATCAAGGACTTTCTGAGCCTCATGCTCTGCCAGGGAGGAGGGGAAGCTGAGATGAAGCAGAGACAGGACACCTGACCCAAGCTAGCCAAAGAGGTATTCCATACCATAACACGTCATGCCCACTATATAAACTGGGGGCAGTTACCTGGAAGACCCAGATCGCTGCTCGGGTTGGGCAGGGTATCAGTCAGTGGGTGGTGAGCGGTTGTATTCTCTTCCCTTGTTATTTCCCTTACCATTATTATTATTACTGGTGGTAGCAGTAGCAGTTTGTGTTATACTTTAGTTACTGCACTGTTCCTATCTCAACCCATGGGAGTTACATTCTTTTGATTCTCCTCCCCATCCCTCCCAACACCGCTCATATTCAGAGACCAGGACAGAAGAGCAGAAATGTTACTTTCAAAGATGGGAAAAATAGGAATGGGAGTGCAGTTACCAGCCCAAGCATTAGATGCCATGGGTCTAATGGACTGGGCAAAAACCAAATCTCTGGAAAGATGAAGAAAGAATTTGATCCAGAGAAATGGAACAAAGCAGATCAATCATTAAACAACAAACCGCAACAGATAACAAGTGAGCTGGAAGACTGAGACAACGATCCACCCATGGTAGTGTCAATGACACCACTGCTAGAAAGCAAACAACCTTCGGACCAAGAAGATCCTTCTTGTGAGCAAGCGGCTTTGTGGTTACTGGCTGGGCTTAAACCACAACAGTTCTTTGTGACGCCCAACGTGGGGCTCAAAGGGTTGAGATATACCGACAGATCTTATTTATGATACGCATTAACTGTTTCGGATTAATAGCCACTCATCGCAATGCTGATTTATAGGCTCCTAAAGTTGTTGCTCTTGATTCTTAAGAGTTTCAGCATGTCGTACCTTACTTACAGCCATTATTTGCTGTTTCAGTGTTTATCAGCTGGGGGGCCTGGGCTAAGGTTATTGTTTCGCTGAACTTCATGCAATGACTTGTAATACAATAGAATAATTGATCACAAAACTGGCCTGGTATGCGTCCTCAGTGTGGTCATCACCTCTATACTATGGGACGCATGTAATGGGAATTTTTAACAATTACGTATCTTTCTTTTTCCTTCCCTCAGGGGATAAACCTTTGGAGGAGACATTCCCTCACACCCTCTGCTCCCCCACCAGGCTATTTACAGTAGTAGTAGATTTTGGAAAAGTTAACAGATCTTGAATATCCTTTCAATGCCCTTGAAAGCATCCTGTTCCTTTTGCTGGGAACCAGCTTACTGCTGCATATGCTTTCTACGTTTTACCCATGGCCATCCCATCCTGAGAACACCCTACTACATCTGATCTTGAAAGTTAATTAGTGTCTGGCTTGGGTATTGTCTAGGGTTAAACAACAATATAGGGAGATCACCAAGAGATTTTCCCCGAGGCTGGACAGTCATGAGCTGCAGGGTGTGGGGGATCGTATGGGCAAGCATCTAGTCCAGTGGGCCTCTCCAGTGCTTTGGAAGCATCAGAGATGGGGACTCCGACAACAACTTGCAGAAACTGCTGAAGCAGAGGTTGAATTGAGTCAGTTTGCCAAGGTGAAAGCCATCCAGCTGGCCTTGGACATTGCTGAACAAGAAAAGTGGCCAGTACTTTAGCTCTATACTAACTCATGGATGGTGGCAAATGCCTTGTGGGGGTGGTTGCAGCAATGGAAGCAGAGCAACTGGCAACGCAGAGGTAAACCCATCTAGGCTGCTGCACTGTGGAAAGATATTGCTGCCCAGGTGCAGAACCTGGTGGTGAAGGTATGCTGTATAAATGCTCATGTACCCAAGAGTCAGACCGCTGAGGAACACCAGAACAACTAACAAGCAGATAAAGCTGCTACGATGGAAGTGGCTCAGGTAGACTTAGACTGATAATGTAAGGGTGAACTATTTTGAACCCAGAGGGCCCATGACACTTCAGGCCATCAGGGCAGAGATGCAACATATAGATGGGCTTGTGATCGAGGGGTGAACTAAACAATGAACACTATTGCCCAGGTTATTTATGACTGTGAAACGTGCTGCAATTAAACAAGCCAAGCGGTTAAAGCCTCTTTTGTATGGAGGACGATGGTTGAAGTATAAATATGGGGAGGCCTGGCAGATTGACTATATCACACTGCCACCAACCCGCCAAGGCAAGCGCCATGTGCTTACCATGGCGGAAGCAACCACCGGGTGGCTGGAAACATACGCCGTGCCCCATGCCACTGCCCGGAACACCATCCTGGGCCTTGAGAAACAGATTTTGTGGTGACACGGCACCCCAGAGAGAATTGAGTCAGACAATGGGACTCATTTCTGGAATAACCTTATAGACACTTGGGCCAAAGAGCATGGCATTGAGTGGGTATATCACATCCCCTACCATGCACCAGCCTCTGGGAAAATCGAACGGTACAATGGGCTGTTAAAAACTACACTGAGAGCAATGGGTGGGGGAACTTTCAAGCATTGGGATACACACTTACCAAAGGCCACCTGGTTGGTCAACACCAGAGGATCTGCCAACAGGGCTGGCCCAGCCCAGTCAGAACTTTTACATATTGTAGAGGGGGACAAAGTTCCTGTGGTGCACATAAAGAATTTGTTGGGGAAGACAGTCTGGGTTATTCCTGCTTCAGTGAAAGGCAAACTCACTCGTGGGATTGATTTTGCTCAGGGACCTGGATATACTTGGTAGATAATGCAGTAAGATGGGGAAGTCCAATGTGTACCTCAAGGGGATTTGATTTTAGGGGAAAACAGCCAATGAACTCAATTGTATGCTGTTACCTGCTATGTAACACTTTTACAGCCCACCAACTAGATGTCCTCAGGTCACCAGCGACTGGCCCTGACTTCCCTTCAACCATCAACCCAACAAAGAATGAACTTTGATGAAACCAAATGAGCTCAGCAGTGACCAGATGAGTTCCATGGTGTCATCAGCAGGCAACAATCCAATACTGCACACCGTCTCTCCTGCTCTGAAAGACTGTTACAAGAGATGCAGCCCAACATCATGGACTGGATGAATTCGACAGCTTTATAGGGATTGGTCCATGCACTAAGGAAAGATATCTCTCTCACTTTCTGTGCGTATGTGTGTGTGTGTGTATATATATATATATATGTATATACATATATATATAAGACAAGATGGTATACTGATGGTATACTGAAAAATGTGAGATCTCAGCATGACGTGAATGGTATGGAATAAGGGGTGGATACTGTCCTGGGTTCAGCAGTAGAAGTCATTTTTCTCCTCCTCAGTAGCTGGTGCAGTGCTGGGTTTTTGACTTTCAGCCTGGGAACAGTGCTGATAACACCGATGTTTTTAGTTGCTGCTCAGTAAAGTTTACTCTGACCAAGGACTTTATCACTCTCATGCTCTGTCAGGGACGAGGGGAAGCCGGGAGGAAGCAGAGACAGGACACCTGACCCAGGCTAGCCAAAGAGGTATTCCATACCACAGCACGTCATGCTCATTATATAAACTGAGGGCAGTTACCTGGAAGACCCAGATAGCGGCTCAGGTCGGGCTG